GAGACACTGAGTGATAAGGCTGGGTGTCGCAACCAGTGGCGTTCGTGCATCTTCTTAATCTCTTAGCAACTTTAGTCCACTGAACCTCTCCATTTTCTTTTCGACTCCGATTTCAGGCTTCCTTTCTTCTTCTATTCTTCATCCCAACGGGCATCCAAAAGACAGCGAATGAATATGCGTGGTTAATGGTTGTTCAAACTGAAACTGAAAGTTGTGATGAGCCATGATTCACTGCACTGTTTAGACGTCAAACGCTTTGATTCTCGGTCCTTCGTTGTTTGCTGATTGCTCGTCCGAGTGTGGCATCAACTAATCGCCGATTGGAGCACCACCTCTGAACCGTGACAATTAAGCATAAGGCCGAACCATCTATGTTCGTAGTAGTTGCTTCGTGATAGAGGCAACGGTTTATTTGTTTATTACAAGACTGGATTTGCTCCCCCGATCTAATTCGATGGTTTTGCTTCGGATAGATCTTATCGCGAGTTACCGCACACAATAAGCGAGCGATGTAAGAAACGACAAACCGCAGTCAAAGATGACCCCCCCCACTGGGATAGCTTGGTTGTGGAATGTGTCCGATTTAATGATAATGTCTTTTTTAGTTTGTACCATGGGTCACGCATTCTGCACGAATGCGGTCGAAGAACATGCCCGGAATATTTCACATTTAGTAGAATCCAGAAAACCTTGTGTAGTACACAACTTTGTTGAACGGGAGCTATGTGTTGTTCAACGTCTCGGTCAAACTAGGACTGGTCCAAGGGTATTGAAACCCTAACCAGGACACACTAGGTCACACAGGTTTCGTTAGGCTCCCCGAGATCGTGGTCAATGTTGGTTAGAGCCGCTCAGCGTCGCAAGCAGTGGCGCTCGTACGTCTTTTCAATATTTTTGCAACCCTAGTCTATATGAATTCTCTATCCTCTTTTGGAATTCCCCCTCGATATTCTAATCTTCATTCGGCTCTTTTATTCAGACAGGCAACAAAAGCCAGAGCACGAAAGAGCATGGTGAACGGTTGTAAAAACGGAACTAAACTGACAGATAACGCGGCACACATTAGGACTGAGACAATGAGAAACATTCAACGACGGGAATCAGAACTAACCTCGTATTCCACTCCACTTTCATCCGGGAACTGAAGTACGGAAGAGTTGTTCGAAGCGGAATCGTTCATTGTGGGCAAGGATATATTTAAATACGCTCGTACGAGAGCACGAGTCCCGGGGAGACCACCGAGTTTCGCCACTCGCGCGTGATTGGACACGGCCACGGTCAAAAACCGGACAAACTCCGAACCCAGATGATCAAGAGCACACAGAATCAATTGATGCTGCAACGACTCGGACGCCCGAAGTTCCAACACCCGATCAGCCGCAGAATCATGCGTGATTCCCTGTTTCTGGAAGCACTGTGCGAAGCGGGAGAACAAGCTCCAGATCTCGGTCAGATCGGAATGTGTTTGACGTACTTTCCCACTGGACCCGGGACCTTCCATAATGTCTGTACTGTTTGCTTTCGCGAAATACATCAATAGACTGTCTCGTTTGTCGTTCCGGGCGTATTGACCAAAGGAGAAAGGGCCCACGAAGCAGGATTCCAGGTATTGAGATAACTTCACAGTTTGTAACCATGGAGACGTGCGCGTAAGGGCGAGAGGGAATCGAGATGACAATTTCAACAAACATTGAATGGTCAAGTTAAAGCGTCACAAACTGAACGACAAGTAATCAAAACACTAGTCTGAAATGGAAAAAGATGGGGATACACAGAACGAGAAAAAACAGTGCAAACACAACACCTGGTCAAAGCATAAACAGAGCCTAGCAGACAATGGACGGGGAAATCGAAAGGCAGATTTGGCTTTGCCCGATTCGAAACCACGGCTGTACTGTTGGGGATTTGCAAACTTTACCACTCAAGAGATGTCAGCTGTTGTACATGGTTTCGTACGTACCAAACAGCAATATATCACAATGGATTCCAGCGAGGGCTTACGTTACTGATTATAAAAATGGCTCACCGAAGGCTTAACGCCATGGAACTCATATGCATCTTTACTGATCCTCGCGTTCAGATGTGTATGAGTGGCCAAAATAACACACATAGGCGTTCAGTTACAGTTTGCTCAACCTACAGCCATGCACCATAGTGTGCCGGTTATGGTGGCCCATTTGGATGAACATTGGGAGAAAGACAGGAAAGGTTCAAAGTAGGATCGAAGAGAAAATTGAAAAATTCAGTGGATTAAAGATAAAGAAAAATTGAGAAAATGCACGAACGCCACTGGTTGCGACACCCAGCCTTATCACTCAGTGTCTCTGACCATCGG